AATAATATTTATATATAATTCATTTGAAGTATATATTTAATTGGTTGAAATTTTAACCAAATTAAATAAATATGATCATCAAGATCCAATTAGAATAACATCATCATCAAATGATTTGTAGAGTATATATATAGTAAAAGTTTGGTAATTGGAAGTGATAAACATGCAGTTCAAATCATATTGGTGATAACTTTCAGTTGCTTAGAGCATCCACACTAGTGGATAATGTGGAGTTATTTCAGTTTGCTTTCTTCCCATGTAGAGATAATAACTAATGTGAGGGGGAGATAATTTAGAAATAGTTGTCCTGCATAGGCATAATGTCAGAAAATTAAAAAAAAAAAAAAAAAAAAAAAAAAAAAGGCTATGCGCGTTTCGCGCACAGCCTGGGCACGCGTGCACTGCACGCGTCTGATTACTTTTTTTTTTTGGGAAAATGGCACTTTTTACCCCTGAGTTATATACTTATAGCACTTTTTCCCCCTCAATTATTTAGGTAAGCACATTAGCCCCCTCAGTTATTCTAAAAGTGGTGCTTTTTCCCCTTGATATATTTAATTGACATTTATACCCTTAAAGTAAATATTTTATTTATTTTACTTCTCCAACAAATTATTGCGTATACATAGGGATGACCACGGTTCGGTTTGAATTGAACCGGATACTATAGCAATCGAATTAATAGTTTTCGGTTATAATTCAGATCTAGAATCCAATATTTAAATGTCAATTTATTAAAATTATGTATCAAAAAAATTGAATCTTGAACCGTGAACCGGCGGTTCTGTATCCGATTCACGATTTTGAACCGTCTTTATTTTAAAATTTTATTTTTTATTTTAAAATAGTATAAATTCAACAATATATGTATTTTATTTTTTCAGTTCGGAACATGAACCGTCCGTTCTGGTTCACGATTTTAATAAACTCTAAATATCGGATTTCGATTCTAAATTGTAATTGGAATATTTCGATTTGGTTGCTATAGTGTTTGTTTGGTTTGAACCAAATTATGGTCATAATTTGTTGGAGAAAAAAAATAAATTAAATATTTAGTTGAAGGGTAAATATGTCCATTTAACATTTCAGGGGGGAAAACAACCACTTCAATAATTTAGGGGGCAAAAATGCTATAGGTATATAACTCAGGGGGAAAAAGTGCCATTTTCCTTTTTTTTTTTTTTTTTAATTTTTTTTTGTTTTGTTTTTTTTTTTTTTTTTTTTTTTCTCCCCTCCCACATTCTCTTTCCTAATCACTCTTACATTATCCCCTCATTCTCCCCAACCAATGTGGATGCTCTTAGTGACTAACATTTAGGCAATAATTAAACAGGAAATCTTTGCTAGAAAAATGCAGGAGAGAGCTGAGGTAGGTAAAAATGCATGGTGTACCAACTGTTCATTTGATGTGCATGGTTGAATAGACTGGTGCAAAGATTTTAACTTTAATTTTGAACTTTTTAATACTTTTTTCTAATTGACTAGTTGTATATTTTTATTATTTCAATATTAAATTAATTCTTTTAATTCACTTTTGATCTTTTTAATAGTTCCTTGTAAATTTTAAACTTATCTTTATATTTAATAGAACTTTTTATACAATTTCTTAACTTATTAGTTAAATCTACATTTTAATTACTTATTTGCTCTTGTATGATAGTCTGTATACCACAAAAAAGATGTAAATTGTCTTGTGTGATGGGCTATTTAGCTCGACCAACCACAAAGAAGAGGTAAGTTACTCGATGCAACGAACTTGACTGAAAAGTTACTAGCATGAATTAAATTCGTGATCTTCTAGTACAAGAATCATATTTCACTCACCCGACCATTTTTTTGGAACAGGTGAGTATTATTTTGAGTGACAATCAAAATGAGTTAATATCATAGTACAATTGCTATGTACTTTAGGATCCCTCCCAAAAGGGAAAGTTGCCTAATTTCAATTCGGTTGCATGGCGGCCAATATAATGGATAAGAAAGAGGATTATTCTTGCAAGCAAATCAAAGCTCCATTTTCTTATTCAATTAATATTATTTATACCAATTTTTAAATATTATTTAATGTGATTTTTATCTAATTATTTTGTAATGGAATAATTAAATCATAAATAATAAAATTTCTTGCATTGTAATAGATCAACATGCAAAGCTTCATAATCTAGATGACTAGTTTAGGGTTTAAAATTCAGTCTATATACATGTACTCTCAAGATTATGATGACTAGTTTAGGGTTTAAAATTAAGTCTATATACATTATGTACTCTCAAATCTGAATACTTTTTTTTTTTTTTGAATGCACTCTCAAATCTGAATACATTGTATTGATTTCACAATGAATATTTACACATAATTTAAACTTAACAAAAATCACCAAACCATGAAAACAAACATCTTCTTATCATGTAAGTACAAAAATACATAGGCATCACCTAAATATTTACACACAATATATCCTTAAATTCATCAAACCAAAAAAAAGCTAAGAAACTAACATCTTATCATGCTAGTGTACAAGAAAATCTAGCCATCTTCGACTTGCAAAACCTTTCGACGCATGCGAAACTTCAAACTAAAAAAAATTGTCATGTGCTAACGCGGGAAAAAGGTGTGGGTAAAATTCTTAAAGATTGAACTAACCATAGTGCCCTAGAATCACCGTCTGTGTTTTCCTAAAGTGCTTATACATGGGTGTCCGAAAGTTATTAACCCTTTTTGGACTGATCAACAACGTTGTGCCTCTTGGAAGGACCAGAAGGAGGGACTGTAGTCCCTTTAGGCAGAGAATTTAGCCACAACCCCTTCCTTAACTTGTGCTTATTTACATGATATTCCTCCATCAACGCTCCTCCCGGCCTAGCAGCCATGCTTGAACCAAAACGAGTTAAAATGAGAAGAAAGAAGAAGATAATGCAACACAAAAAACGTAGGGTTTTAGAAGAAGAAGAAGCCATGAAATTAGTTTCTTCTTAGGCTTTTGGTTATAAGATGAGGTGGTAATGATGAATTATTGAACATGAAGAAAAAGGAAGATTTGGGGTTTATTTATATGTGTGTGTGTGTGTGGGGACACTGACACACACAAGAATATAACATCATCGAGCTAAGCATTGTGGGTAAGTATAGAGTTCGGCAAAAGATTGAGGGTGATGGATCAGAGAGAGGAGTTGGATGAAAAAAAGTTAGTGTCCCATTTTATGTAATAGCCTGCAAACCACACAAAAGAAGTAAATTCTATTAATAAGATCATGTTGAGGGATTCAACTAAGAAATTAAAGATGTTGACAAGAATCGAACTTGTGACGTTTAGGTATAAGAATTATACATACCCCACTTGATCGGGGGGGGGGGGGGGGGGGTTGAGCGGGGGCAAAAAAAGTGTATTCATAATTCAAAAATAAAAATTACTATAAATAAATTTAATAGAAGATCAAGAGTCATGATATATGTTACGTTGTTGGTGACTCTGGATGGGCAGGTTATAATTTGCAAAATTTTCAAGAATCTGGTGGAGAAATTTTGCTTGCGTTTTCCTTGCACGTATGCTACAATGTATGTGTCATTTATTAGAAAATGTATTCAATTTTGTTGAAAACTGTGGTGTTTATGGATTGCAAGTATTTCGTTCCTCGAGGTTATGCCACATGTTACTGTATAATATATAAACAATTGCTATTTGTATTAATGAATAAACTAGATGAGTAACGCATACTATACTGTCCCCCCGCCCCCCCAAAAAAAAAACATTGTTTACACTTTCTTATAGCAACTACGAGTTTTTCTCGTCATAAAAATACAATGTTCCTCGGGTTTAGTATAGTGATTCGTTGCCTGACTTGATGTCAAGATTGAATACGACAGTGTAGGAGTCCGAATTCCACTGGGAGGGTGTGGATTGGATCCCTTGTGTGCACATAAATACTAGAGTCTGATCGGTGGGTTGATTGCGCAATTTGCGATTTACCTTTGAAGTGGCTCTAGGGGCGAGAAATATAGCTATGGGATCAAGTGCGCGAACTGCCCTCCCCGTACGAAATGAAGGAATGCACTGTATTTACTATACGATTGCACCGCAACTCCTCCAGCTTCGTGTGCATTCATGTAGTAGGTACAATGTAATCCTTCAATAGTTCGCAGGTTTGCACGAGAAGGACAGTTCACACTTGATCTTGATTCTATATGAGTATGTCTTCCAAAAGAGGTGGTCGAGTGGATACAGTGAAATATAACTAATGTACCTAAGTCATAATTTTGATTCTAGCTCTTTTCAATCAAGCTTGTTGTACAGGATTTCATAAGAAAATAATGCATGAACTTAGTATCATATATGTTGTATGATGTTAAACTCAACCCTCCAAACTTCAGACCAACTAGATTAGCCAATTAAAATAAAAATTTGACATATGTATATGTAATATGTCAGTTGGAATGCAGGCAAGCATGCATATTGTCCAAAGTCAACTCTTCATATGGAAAGAGGATCGGAATACTAGCTAGCAGCCGTAGCCGTCCTATTTGTAATCCGCTAGCTGTTGACTGATAAAATGGCGATTTGACAGAATAGACAAACATATATATATTTATCGAACATCATATATATCATTGTTAATTAGGCATAACTAATAATAGAGCTTCGCTTGCTTCTGCAAATGGCAACTAGCATAGTCGTCCACGGAACTTTTGAGGAATATAATTAATTAATACATTGGATTATGCCATTAGTCTTTACTCTTTAGTCATATCACTATGTTAGAAAAGGTAGGAATTATTAGCCGGACACGACCATCGGTTTTCACGATGACTTTCACAATACTAAATTCTTTCATTGTACCATTTTTTCCATGTTCCTTGTTTGATTTGTAATTGAACAACAAAAAGCTTTAATAAAGCTAGAGGCTTGAAATATAATTTCTTTATTTTGTTTAATTCACACCTTACAATGCACTCGAGTGTAACCCCGATCATCTTGTAACCTTAGCAGCCAAAAGATCACAAGAAGTAAACATGCAGTCTAAAGTTGTCCATAATTAACTGATAATGTTTTAGTTATCGAGACAACTTAATTGAGGTTGTCGGGTTACAATGTATTATTTGTGAATGACATATATAAAAGTGGCCGGAATATGGTTGAAGTTATTTGCAGGTAGCAACGAGAACTTTTCTTGGTGGAAGAGATGGTCTTCTTCCATGGAAGAGAGCCATGTTATCAAGGAAGAGAACATCTCCTTTCTCCCACTTGAACTGAATGCTTTCATCTTCAATGATCTCTCCACATCTCTTTACCACACCAGCATCTATCTCACTCCCGTCCGCCATTGTTGCAGAGCTGATTTCCTTCCCGTGCATCCCCACCACCGTGTTGAACCACATCCGCCGCCCTTTTCTCCCCTCGAACACCCGAGTCAGTGACCGAGGCCCCAAGATCGTCTTCATCCCATTATTCGGCAGCCACTCCACCTCCATTCCCAGCGCATTTGCCCTGCAAATTATATATCATTTTCTCTGTCAATAATGTTCAGATTTAATTTAAACTTTTAGTTGAGACAACAAAATTTACCGTTTTTCAGCTTCTACGGGATCTGAGGTTCCAAAAGCGTCCTCCCATCCTCGACCTCTCATTGAAGCAACATCACTTTTGCTGGGAGCAGAGAATGTATATCTGAGTCCCTTCTTCTCCATTTCCTCCACAGCTTCTGGAAACTCCTCCACCATCCTCTCTGTTATCCTAAAGCTCGGAACGAAGGGCGTCTCCCCGCCTTCCGGCGGCGGCACTTCACAGAACAGTATCACTTTCTTTGGGCTTTCCTTGAACTGCATGCATGCATGCAACAAATTAAATGGCACTAAAAATCACTCCTGCAAATTATGCAATTTCCGACCACCTGAAAGTGATCTTTAAATCAAGTCGAAAGTAAAAAGTGGTCGAAAATAGCAACAAAGGTTTTTCCGGATACCAAAAGTGATCGGAATCACTTTCAGGTGGTCAGAAATTCCATAATTTCCAGCAGTGAATTGAGCTATCCGTGTAGGGATAGTATAGACACCCGACCCTTAAATGATGACATCAATTAATTAAGTGAACTTACAAGGACCATTTCATGGTGGTAGTAGATGAACTCAGAGAGGGGGCCTTCATTGGCCGTCCAAACCCTCTTGTAGACATGAGTCCTCGGCGCCGGTCCGACGTAGCGGATGTCTTCCCATCCGAGGACCTCAATGATATCATTGAAGTGTTTGGCATTCTCAACGTTAAACCCCCGGAGAAGAACAGCACTGTTCTTGATGATCATCTTCTCAAACCATTCCTTGTTCTTCTCCAGGGCTTCCACCAATGAATCCACCCTCTTCTCGCATGGCTCCGCAGGGTTCAACACTAGCGGCATGCTCTCTCCGTCCACCACCTTTTGCCCTCCGCATTTTCCCACCTTGAAATCTTGGCAACAAAACTCCATTTTTAATTATCTCAAAGTTTCTTCTTTCTTTTCTTTGATCTACTTTCTCTAATTCAATTTCTTGGTTTTGAGAATGTATTAGGAGTGTGTACTTATAGTGTGATTGGGGTTGTAGTGATCGCCATTTTACAATGAGAATCGGATGATAATGACTACTTTGTAACTTTGATTTATAGAAAAGCATTCAGTTCTAGATTATCTTTTGTTATTTTGTGCCTTGGGGATTATTATGAAATTAATCATTAGAGGTCTAAGTTAGTTACAGGCCGGTTCCAAAAATGTTGTGGCTTTGTTTGATTGATTTAGACAAATTAAAGAACCTAGACAGGAACAAGTTTAGAGATGTTTTTGTTTTATTAATCATTTTATTCTCAAACCTCCATTGCTAAACAACAACCCTGAATGATAATTTAATAGTTTCACAAAAAATATATATAGAGAGAGTCTAGTGCTTGGCAACATAGGTAATTGCTTTTGGCGACAATTTCATGCAAGTGTTTAATTTGTAGTTGTCGTCTCCATTGTTTACCTCTTTGTAACTAAGTAATTACTTTGATGTTTACAAGGATTTTGGACCCATTATTTGTGAGGTATATATAATTCCATTGTTATGTGCTAGCACACAGGTTTGAGATCTACTTTCTCTAATTTAATAGGCTCTTCATTATATTAAATGAGCCTTAATGACTCAAATTTTTTTAAATATAAAGGGTGTTTTGGGGAAAGAATATGCTTTCCCCAAAACGCCAAAAGCCAAACATTGCTCTTCACAGCGTTTGCAAAAATAACGGTTTGCAGCAAACCGCCATTTTACCAAATATTTAGTTTGGTGTTTTGACTAAGGTCAAAATGTCATTTTGACGAATCCGTTATTTGCTAAATAAGTCCTTAATTTTTTAGTATAATTTGACTCAACGTGGTATTAATGACTACACAAATATGAGTTAGCAAAACTGTACTTTCCCTACCCGCGATAGCCACTCCTGACAGTACATTATGGCACATGCACTATTGTATGTGGCCATTTGTTGAAGGGAATTTTGTAGGAATGAAAACATGAACTATGAAATACATGTTACATTTTGATGTTGCACCAAACATTCTAGGTGAAAAATGATTAATAATACTCCCATCCATATATTTGCTAACATGGTTTGGGCCCATAAAAAAATGAGATCCACATATAGATTTTTGTTGTGTACTTGTGGGCACTCATAGTCTATTGTTCATTTAATTTATTCTCTCCCATTTTATTCCTAGACACTTCTAATTGACAAAGCAAAGCTTAATTAGTTGTCATTCATCCTTCTTCTCAGTTTCCATGATAGGTCACCATCATTAGGGTTTGTGAGCTTCAATTCTAGTCGGAGTTCAAATTCGTATCTTATATTTATTTCGATTTACATTTTTAATATAACAATCAAAATATATTTGATTGGATATGACTGCAGAGGACTGGTTCTCGCCCGACCTCAAACACCAATTAAGTCCATTGGTCTTCAATTGGCTAAACTAGTCGTTGGCTTGTTACATTAAGTCCTATGCTTACATGTTCTTAAATCAAGTGTCTGGTATTAAGTATCAAGTCATTTACTTGTCTCCACTCAACCAAGTATCAAGTCATTTTGTCTCTATTTAAAATAAGTGATCCAATCGTCTCCGAATTTGGACGGAATGTTTGGCCTAGTGCAAGGTTTGAAGGTTAGAAATAAGGTCATAACAAATTTACATTTTTCATAAAACTTCAATTTCAATTCTAGCAAATAATGAATTAGGGAACTACCAATTCAGAACTGAATATGCTTAACTCATTGGTATAGTAAACAGTATTTGGAAAAGAAGAACCAAAACTAAATCATAGTGACAGACTACTTTTAATATCAAATTAGTCAAATTTCCTAAAATATGCTTTTCTGTGTGTTTCATAGTCACCTAAACCAGCCAGAAATCTGATCATTTCTCGTTTCATAATAATCCCACAATTCAAGTTTCCCAATCCATTACTATGTAAGTGTCAGAACTAGATATACCTATGGCAAGAAGTTACAGACACAGGACAAGAAACATGGGTGCCGCCTATTTAATGCTCAAATTTACCGCTCTTCTGGTTGTTTTCACTTCTTTTTCAGTCTCTCTAATTCTTCATTCTTCTGGACACAAGCTAATCCAGTAAAGAGTTCCATCTTCTTGGACAAAGACTGTCAACTAGAAATTGGTGGCTCCTGTAGCTTGTTACCTTTGACCTGTTGCCATTCTGTGTACAAAATAAACCAAGTTTTTCTTGATAAGATGATAGTGTTATTGATGTTGAGATGTTCTCAGCTATATGTTGCTACTCTTAAATGCTGGAGAATTTCATAACCTGAAGGTAACCTAATTTTCTTCAAATTTTCAGCTTAGAGTGGCATAATAGGAGTCTATAGGCAATTCAAGAATCTGGGTGTTCTTTATTTTCATCATTTTATGTTGGAGTGATGGTTTGGGTGTGAAAAAATGGGGCTTTGGTGCTATGGGTGGAGCGGTGTATGAGGATTGGGTTATCCCATCCCAGTAGATGAGTGGAAAGTTCAATTCTTTCTATCCACATGATTGTCAGACTAGGTTTCTTCGTAAAGATAATCATTTCTATCCATATTGTACCTTCAGCTTACCAGAAATACAGAGATGCATAGATTACTTGAAGAAAAAGGGTGTTCTCATACAACCCCACAAATCAGTATGGCAAAAGACTTTATTCTCTAACATGACCATTTGTCCAAAAGAAAATTCGTGAATTTCTGAACAGTTTTGGTACATCAAAGGGCACTTGAAGCAAGGAAAGAAGAGAACCTTAAAGCTTGAAGCTTTTTGTTATTGCATGGTTATAACAAGACTTCTTTCGATAAACTTGGCAGCTACAACCTTGCCTTGAAGCTTCGAGGGCAGAAAAATGGCGCGTCTTTGATCACCTGCCTCGACCAACAACTCAGATCCCCCTCTAAACTACAGTAATAATAAGAAAAACGATAAGATTACCTTTTGAGTCTATAAACTTTTACTAGTGTTGCAGTGTGTAAAATTTAAGGTACATACTTGGTATAGTTTGATTTCCGATTTGTCAAAACCAGGCATGAGAAGCGTGACAGTTTTATTGGCCGGATCAAACTTAACAGGATGGATCCTCGTCCCATGGCTTGTTACAGCAAGAAGTTTGCGGGCATCCTCACTACAAGCATCCTGCATTATATGATTCCATTCTAGGCGGGTATCTATCGAGAGATGTGGAATGAAAGTGTAAGGCAAAGGTGAAAAGCTCTTATCGACTTTTTCCCTTAACCCAGAAGCATTATTTGGTGATGCAAAAGCGAGGGCACCAGAGACCTGGGCGCCTGCTTGGATAACACAGCCCCAGTAGCGTAATGCAGAAGCCAAAGATGCGGAATTTTTGGGGTCCACCACAACATAGCAGCCAAATTTATCGGGTTCTGCAATGATAGAAGATCCTCTCTGCATCATACACAACCCAGGGACACCTTCAAGAAAATTGCATTACTGCTTGGAAAGAAGAAAATGGGAACCGAAATATATACCTCTAATGTTCGATCTAGAAAGTCCCATATCTCTGAACTCATTTTCCCATTCAGATTGGAATTTCTGCCACTTAAACTCATAGCTTCGTCGACAAATCTCAGGAGAGAAGGGCCTGCCAACCTCCCAAAATCGGTCTTTTCTGCTAACTTACGAAGATATTTCAAGTACAATCTGTACAGGGGAGAGGGATTACCATTTTAACTCCTTTTCATTTAAATTGAGGCAGTGGTTACGAGGAATAAAGAGTTCTGACCTTGCTTTGCTGGTTGCGCCTATCATCCGAATCATTTCTTCAGTGCTCATACCATCATAAATTATAATGTCAAATTTCTCCTTTTGACTGTTCCCTTGAGTAACATTTCCAAAGAATCCAATTAGCCTTTCAAGTTCCAAAACTGAAAATATCGAATCCATTCCGGGCAACACACCTAGCTCTTGTCCTACCACCTACTACATTATGAAGAAAGATTAAAGATGAGGAATCATAAATTTCTAAGAGGACAGAAATGAACGATGAAATGTTACATACCAACCTCTTCAAGAATTCCTTGTGTCATATTAAGACGAGTGTCTGCTTCCTTTAGTCTATTTAAGGGTTTAAGAAGCATCTGCATTTATCGGTGATTGTTAATCTTAAGTCAAAAGTAGGCCAAAAGTATGCTAATGAGCCCGACATGTATGCCAAGACAAAGTGGACTAGAGAAAACGCACTTTTGTAGTTTCCAATCTCACAGCCGAAAGGTTGGCATTGCATGCAACAGGAGATGTGCCAATCTTACAGTTCAGAAGATATTCGGCTGTAGGATCTTGGGAATGAATAACCAAGTACGTTTTGAGCCCTGCCATAGCATAATGCTGAATACCCGAGAATTAATAGTGGTAAAATATATATACCATTAAGAGGACATCCTGATTCTTGACATAACTAAAGAATCAACCAAAATTCCATAGTTCCCCAGATTCTCATTCCCTCAAGTGGTCCACCACCCAAAGTCAACCCTCCAGCAGTAAGGTGGGGGTTCGGCTCCTACCAACAACATCTTTGAGCCCTACATGGACTGTTCTTGGGGTTTAGGATTAGTCTGGCGTGAGCTAAAACCTAATGTATCAAAAAAAAAAATTCACACAACTCTCTTCCTAGTTCAGGTGTTCCTAGGATTAGGACTGTTCCTCAATCACACACCTAAACCCAGCAGAATTCACTCCTCTGGTAATGTTACAGTTTCCACACAACACTCCTCAGAAGATTACTGTTATAAAGCTCCCAACTTTATTTATTTTATATATTAAAGAACATGAATTTTCTCATCATTCATCCTTGAAAAGAAAAGGGAAACTTATTAACCATACAATTATCATAAAGAAATCGAAAATTCAAGCTAAAATGACCGGGAGCTCAACTAATTTTACTCCACATTCCACAGTCATCATCAGTACTAAGAAGATTGAAAATCATTTGGTAGGAGACAACAGAGGATTGAATATGTAGATACCTGAGCAGCGAAAACAGCAGAGGTGGTTTTACCAGAACCGCCTTTACCCAAGAAAGTGACCAATCTGGGTGGCTTATCAGCGGCTGAATTAGCGGCAGCTGCCATGGCCAAAGCCCCTTTCTTCCTCCTTGATGGGTTTAGTAATGGAGGGGGGAAATCGAGTTTTGGGATTGAAGATGAAGGCAAAAATGGTGTTAGGAGGAATTGGGGATTTGAAGAAGAGGAAGAAGCCATAGATTTGCAGTCTAGGAATCGAACGTGACTATGAATTGGTTCCTATTATTCTTTTCTTTTTATCATAAAAATTGATTCTTGAAAGTTTGACAACTCTTTCAATCAAACTCTTTTTGCCTAATTTTATGGAGTGAAGGAATCCAACCATGGATGTACCAAATTTAGGATAAAGGAAATCTTAAACATAGTACCATAGCCAATATAATCAGTGAATCCTCCGTTTATCCAAATTTCATAGTAGCATAGCCATTAACCAATGTGTTCGTTTTATGACCGCGGTGGGTAGTTATTCGGCGAGTCAACATGTCCTGTTGAGTAAAAAGATATGATAATTTTAAGGTAAAAATTGAATGTTGAAAATCACGGACCTTTTTAAATAGTGTCAAGCTAAAATTTAGTATAATTTTGTAAGATGATTCAGATGATTTTTTTACATGTCCCTCTTTTATATTTGACTATGATCATTTTATAGTGGAAAAAAGAGTAAAGTATATGGTAATTGAGATCTTTATGGTAATTATATATTTTATTGTAGAGTGGACTAATTAATGAGATTGAAAAGTGATTTTAAGAAGGAGAAGGATAATTTATGGAGTAAGAGATAATTTAGGTGACCCTTGACTATCCTTCCATAATTGAGCAATTGTCTTATAATTCATTTCTTTACCGTTAAGGTTGACTGGTACGTCAAGTCTCAAACTGAGTGCCAAGTCGAGTACTGTGTTCGAGTGCCGGTCTAACTATCTTCCCATGTCCAACTGACCGATTGGTTAACTACTCCTAATTCATAATGTAAACACTTTGTTTGATAACCCAATTTTTACCAAATTATATACTTCACCATGCCACTTAAAGCAAATTTTACTTAAGATTTCTAATCTATCGTACTAATGTCTCGAAACAACCCATATAAACAGTAGTTTGTAATATACATTAATGAAATTTTAAAAACATAGATTAAATTAAACAAACAATTCATTGAATGAATGAACCCAAAAAAAAAAAAATTGTTTTATGTATTTTGAAATGTTAAACTTTAATTTTATTTTTTATTTTTTGTATAAAATGAGTGATTAATGTTTTCAAAAACAAAATAAAAAAAGAGTCTGATTATAATTAATCAAATACGTCAAATTCAGAATACATATAGAGTTTACAAATCACATTATACATGTGAATGTGAATTCATTAAATTTATAACTAGTTGAGAGATTGTAACGTATTTTTATTATCTAATAATTTTAAATATAATGCATTTAATTTCTAGTTAGTTGGGCTATTTCGTATTTTTATTGACTCTTATTAACAATTTAGCACAAGGTCTTCACAATACAATTTATCTATCTTTAAATAAGAATATTTGAACGAAAATAAAAAAATTATGTAATAAAACTTTTAATTACCATGATACAAACTTAGTTTTAAAATGCAATACTTGTTTTGGGTAACTACATGTACAATTCACAGATCACACCCTATTTTATTAACCGTCACATACTTTACTCAAAGTACACCTTCAAATAGCCATTGCAAATTTTCCCATAAATAATCAAAGTCCCATATATTTCACCTAAAAAAGTTTCTAAAGAAAATTATGAATCATACATTCATACACTCCCATCCATATCAACCAATTGAATTTTAGTCTTCTCCCATTGGAAGATGAAACCTTGGCAAAGGACTAGCTCTAGGAGACCTCGGAAGCTCAGAAACTCTATTCCCACTATAATCATAATAAATAACACCCGAAAATTCCGGCGGCTGACACTTCTCCCCCATCAATATCGCCTTCTGCCACAACCCCTCTCCGCCGCCGCCGGCCTCAGACGCAAATATTCCGGCGGTATCTGATTCTTCACCGCCACGACCCTTCTCCCTTCTGTCAAACGGAGCATCCTTGCCCCTTATGATTGTTATGGGACGACGCTTCGTGGACGGCGGCGGTGGCGCGGTTCCGGAGCCGCCGGCCCTCGGCGGCGCTCTCCGTGCATGCTTAGCACACAGTGCCACAAGAGCTGATATTGAAAGAAAAATGGCGATTGTTAATGGGACTGAACACAAAGTTTCGCCAATGTTTCTTGGAATTGGACGAACCATTTTTTTCTATAAATTTAGGAAGGATTCAAGATCTTGAATTGAAAGGAATTGTAATTAAACTTAGCTTGCATGGAGGGATATGCATATATGGGGTTTTATGTTTCTAATTTTTATTGGTAGCAGTTAGAGGGTGGGGAACTAGAAGCCTCTATGTCAAACTTCATACAGGTTGGTTTAATTAAAAATGGTATTCAATAAAGTAAATTACTAACACATGCTTATAATATTATTTATGTGTCACACTCTAACAAAAGTTATTTGAACAAACCACACCGTCAAAATATCATTTTTGATTATTTGGAAAAATTTTCATTAGTTTTACTTATCATCACTCTATGTGATTAGTAGTACCAACCACCATCAAGATAGTCGGAACATTTTGAACATGGAATAACTTCAGTCAAATTGATCGGATTGTTGGTTTAGTAACCATAAGATTCTAAATTTAACTCACAGTAGGAGCAATCTGTTAGCATTCTCAGTTTGAGTAGGTTAGTTATAGTAACCTAAGCTAATGTATCTTGTTATGACTAGGGTTACAAGGTGTGTTTCGATCACCAAAATGTATCTTTAAGTAGTTGTTGGTTGTTGCGGATTTTCCTGTAAATTAAAGAATATTTTAAACCGTTAGATTGTTGGATTGTTTTCGAATATTTTACAACTGGTGGTTAGAAATTTGACACTTAATTAACAGGTTGTTGACATGCTTGAGTAGTTGAGTACACATAAATATTAAATATAGTAACATGAGTGAGAGACAACTAAGGTAAGATTGAAAAGTTGGCCATTTCACACATTAGCTAATTAATTGTTTGACGAAGTCAGTGAAGTAATGAAATCATCCATCCAAAAGCATGCAAGTTAAATAGTTAATCATTTGCAGTGGTCGGAGATTAAGTTAATGATGATGATTTAATGTGATGGGGTACGCAGTGTTGTAATTTATTTGTTAATTAAGTGACACAGTACCACTAAACAATTTACAAATAAATATAATTCAATTCTTTGGCCAAGTCAAGCCATCGGATCATTTCTTTATGTTTGGTAGCATTGACCAAAAAGAAAGAGAAACTATATACAATTACTATATGATAATGTGTCACAAAAAATTAAAATTTTAAACATAAATAGGACGACTATTTAGAATTTCTCTTTCTACTTCTGGATCTCAATCTTTCTACCACTGCACAAATATTTTGTATTTAATTGAAACAAAACATTTTTTAAGATAAAAAATAATAAAGATCATAAGTTCAAATTAGATATGATATCATATTGTTAAAATAATAATAATATCACGTACACTCACGTCATGGCATTAATTCATTTATCAGGCATGGATGATTCATGGGTCACGAATTCAACTTTGGGAATTAAATATGAGTAGTCATTTTTCTTTTCTTTTGTTTTCTTTTCTTTGACCAGAAAAATTCATAATTATTATTCAAAGATATACATTAGATAAACTAATTTTTTTGTGTGTAATAATTCACAGATTGCACAATAAGAAGTAAATTGTACTGGAAAGATCTTACAATTAACATGCTGCACTCAAAAAATATTGACAAGAACTGAACTCATGACGTTATGGTACAAAAATAATATTTCACCTTTGTTTATTACTTTTGGACGGTGGCCATTAATTTTTAAGAGCCTAAGGACGAGTGATGGCTTTCAACTTTTGTCCCACTTCAATCATCCTATTTCATTTTGCATAATAATTCCAAATCAAAATATTTGGAATGGACGGTTCATGGTTGATGCATTTGCAAGCAATTTTACATTTATTCCACCTTTTAGCCATCCCCCTCTCCATACACTTCTCACTACATGATGTCCTAAGACCACCTTTTCCCATGTCTTTTCTTTTAACGGTGAATCATTCTAAATTATACCCCAAACTTAGTTTCATCCAAAAAAGTAAATCTTGAATCAAAATTTATCTTGATTGATCGAGTATTATGATTAGCAAGTATTATAGATATGAACTATTCATTCACATATATTGTTAGACAGATGTCTGGAAGGTTAAATTTAATTAATTACTATCAGACTTGATGTTTATTGTACATGTTTGAAGTAAATATGGTTTGTGATTATGAAATAATTGTTGCTTGGATTCATAGCATTTATGGTTGTTGTTACCTTCATATTTATTTGTATTGTCATTATGCAAATGCACTTTTTTAAAGAAAATAAATTACCACTTCGAGACAAATACAACAGAACTTAAATCTTAATTCATGGTTCCCAAAAGGTTGAATCTCCAACCCTAAAACCCGATAGAGTTCCTGAGAAGATGTAAATCATGGTAACTTAATCCAGTTACATAAAACTGGACTAGTTATTAAAGAATTAGGTCATTTTCCATGTGCTATAATTCTAACAGACTATGCGACATACATAATTTGATCCAGACGCCTACAACCAATCAACCAATTAAGTGGATTTGCACATTTAATTTGATGCCAACCTTCACTTAAATAATTATATTTCCCTTGAAACAAATTAAATCATCAAATTAAAGGCCGGCTAACTAACTACTTTTGTTAATATCATCATTATTATGATGTTCTAAGTTACCTATATTTTCACAACTAGCATTGCCGTGCCGTCTCAACTACTCATTATTTCCTCCTCCTAGCTTTCCTTGCAATTTTCTTAAGTTCAAGAAACAATGATAGCCACTCAAGAAAAAGAAGTTAAATGATGATATCCCAAGAATTTCTTATCACCCCCAACACTACCCAAAATGAAAAAGGAACATTCACGTGCCTCAATTGATCTCAATTTACATTAATCAGATTGTGATCATTTTTATAATAAAATTTATAACACTCAAAAGGGTCTATAGATAGGGTGATTTAACTCTGGATGGTGTAGAATTAACAGAAGTTTCAAGAATAAACAATATGGTAATATATATTATATCATAGAGAAAAATACTATATATAATATAATCAAATTATAAAGCTAGCTTAACTCCCACACTAACCATTCATCATCATCTTACATATCTTGTTTCTTGATCACACATGAAGTTCCCCTAATGGTGAAGCGGATTTGGACCAGTGGGGACGAGGCGCTTCTGGACTCCGTAACGCGGATCGATCTCGTTTCCTCCCGGCGGCAGGTGGCCGTGTGGTTCCGGCGAGCGCCGCTTCCGGTGGCGGGAGTGGTTTAGAAATGGAGTGAAGTCAAAATGAGTGGCGGCTAATGCTTTTCTATGGCTTGAATAAGAGCGAAGACGGGGAGGCAAAGTTGGCGAAGAGATAGTTGGCGAAGAGTTGATTTTCATGAGCTTGAGAGCGGGGAATTCATGGAAGAGGAGGAGGAGAAGAGAGAGCCAAAGAATGAGAAGGAAAACCTTTAAGGCCATAATAATAATGTTGGAGGAGAATAGTTAGAAGGCTCAACATGGATCAATGAAATGGGGAGATTTTGGTTGGTTTTGTGTTGGGAGATTGATGAAGTTTGAAGGTTGACAGCTTGAATCTAATGGCTGGGAAAAAGTGTGCAAAGATGTATTAATGCGGAGAGAAGCTAAGGTTGAATAGAGGGTTTAATTTGCTTACACATGAGAGACTTGTGAGGTAGTTTATGTGCTAATTTATTGGGATTGTGAGAGAAGGCCGGCATGGGAAGGGCGGTAGCTAGCTAGCTTCACCCTTTTACCAATAATGTTCCTTCAAAATCAAGCAATACAAATTAAAGCTGTATTTATGAGTGTAGATTGTCAACCCTATATATTTTTCATATTAATTAGTAACAACTATATGAGGATGTGTATCAATAAATTATGTTTTGTGATTCTGATCTAGTCGATAAATGACCACAAAATAAATTAAGTTAAGTGTTTTTATAATTGACCAGCTCAAACTAAGAAGGTCGCTTATCCCCACCGAGAGAGCGGAGTCAAATTAAACTTGAAATATTGTAGTTACCAAGTCAACAACTTAATTTGTGTTGTCCCAATATTTGCTATTTTTGTTTATCATTAATGTCGGTGTGCACAATAAATCTTTCCACTTTGATTATAATTCTCACATTGTCGTTGATATTTGAACTTTGATCTCTTCTCTCAAATATTGTCTACTGAATCATTGAACTAAGTCCGTGCGGGCTATTTGAGTTCTGAGTTCTTTCTACATAGTACAATGTCAAACCATAATAAAATGTTGTTAAAGTTTTCATAGGTTTCTTACATATTAAACGTGCTATTCTCAAGAAATTGATAGGAGTAGTATTTATTTAATAAGGAGACAAGTCAAATTCTTTCTCGATCTCGCTCTCTCGTGCTTGCTTTTTATATAATTGTAGTGCACAAATTTCCATTTATGCCACCACTCTTGTATCTTAATCCTCGTGCAATGGAAGCTACACTTTTCTAAACGTTACATTTGAAGCGACTATATTACACTTTCATTACAATCTTCCTATTGACTTTATATTTACTATATTGTAATATAATTCTCTCAAACTCAAATTAACATCCATTCCCTAATCTATATTTATTTGTAAATTGCATACCTTGAAAGGAATGAATGAGTGGATATAGCATACTTCTCAGTTCGTATTTGAAAGTCATGTCTTAATTCTTATCAACACATTCTCGATCAAACTCGTCACATATATAGGTTCTTCCTAGTACGATTTACTTCTCCTATGTACACAAGAATGAGGTTTACCAGTATACACCCTCGCTAAAAAAGAGAGTTTGTATCTTAAAGTTACAATCAAGTTCGATCTTACTAACACTCTAGCTTTCAAGAGCACATCAAAAATTAAATCTCACCACATAAATTTTAGAGATGAGCTCCACCAATTTGATTTGTGGTACATTGGGGTTGGGTTCCTTGTGCACAAAATGGTCGGTACAATTTGGTGTGGAGTTTGAAACTAGGCATACTTGATTTACTTTCTTATAGGCCGGTGTGATGATGAGTTCATAGGGTCTAAAATATAGTCCGACGAATCAAATTATTAAAAAAAAAAAAACAAGCAACTTATACCTAATATAATGATTTAAATCAAGATGAGATTTGTGAACATTATTTATTAACAGTCCTTTACGATATAAAGCTAATGATAATAATGAAGATACGATTCAAAACTGAATCAAGCACCTACAAATTAAAGCTAGTGCATCAGTGCATGGTGGGGAAGTATGTATATAACATTAATAATATGCAATCCATTTTGTCTTTCTACCAAGCAATCTACGATTGGGAAAGTTGAGGCAATAATAATCCATACTATGTAATGTAATGTTATAAGCGTGGGGCAGTATATATAACAATAATAATGCATAATAATAAAAGAAAGATTATGAACACTTTATTGGATTTTCATTGAAGACTAAGAGAGAGAAACAAAGACCAATCTTTATATTAAAAAGAACAAACCAAAGAAATGCATTATTTAGATTACTCCAACCAAAGTTACTAATTAATGAGATTGTGATCTAGTGGCATGGAGTGACTCTTGCAAATAGAAGTTATGTCTTTGAACCCCTCAAATACGATGACATTTATATAATATTGAAATGGTTTATTGGCATTGGTAGGATAAAATTTTCCTTTAAGCACTAAATTGTAATTCAAAATTGCTTAAGAAAAATGTAATTCAAAATTATTTGAAATTTTGAATGCTACTGACTCTATTACAATGTAGTATTTGAGGCAATAATGCTTCTATTGAGGCTCGAATTGGGAGTCCAACCCGGGTGCCATCTGTGCCACAAAGTGCTTGGCAAATTTTGATTTAATTTGGATAAAAAAAAAAGAATTATTAATTGTTAACATTATTTTATCGTTAAGTTTTAATAAATAATGTCATTATTTCATTTTCTAGCTACAAATCTATTCCAACACAAAGTATGACCGACCATTTCTTATTTACGACGTCGTTCACGTGAAGTATAAATTCTAGATCCTCTTCCTTCCATAACCCGCAAAATTACGGGAACTTTACAGCTTTCCCAAATTGAAGATTTCGATTTTCATCTCTCAATCTGCTATTAGCGAAAGCATCGATTGGTCGGCCGACTGTGTGAGAACCTGAGATTGGAAAATGGTACGTGAATAATATATTGTAATTAGTGTATATTTTCACCTTTTTGGGATCTCTTTTCTTCAAGGCTATGGTTTGGTTAATATCTGGGCATATAATCGGCTGCTGTGATTAGAATTATTGAATTAAATGGTCCGTGAGAATAAAATTTCGAATTTTGATAAGCTTTTCTGCGTTGATTTGCATATTTACTGAACTTTTGCGTTGTATATTTTAGCGATTGTTCAGAATTTAGGGTTTTGCAGTTTTGCAATTGAGTATTGATCGTGCCCCTTTGTGATTAACGCTTAATTAGAACATAAGAGGGTCCAATCGATGAGGATGGAAAGTTGGCTGTAGTTGTGACAGATTTTGAACAAAATAACAATAAATGATATATATATGACATGAATTGTGGAGTTCACATATACCTACTAAGTGTTAATATTGAAATGTACTGGTTTTCTGCAGTATTACTTTCAACAATTAGAAACCTATAAGCATATCTATTGGAACTCTTTAAGTCATGAATCATTGAGTTTGTTGTAGATGATATAGTAGATATTTACATGGTTGATGAAGCTTGGGAAAATTTTCCTGTTTTGAACCTCTCTACTGCCATTATATTTTCATATACCATTGTGCATATCTCACCAAGCTAAACTCGTTTTCTCTTCTGTATTCTGCAGTCTTCTCTTGCAGCTGCTAGAGCAGATAATTTTTACTATCCTCCAGAATGGACACCCAAGAAGGTAAGTTGGCTCACAATCTGTTATATAATTGCATGTATTAGATAATACTTGAATTTATAGTAAATTACTGTTGCAGATTCTTAAATTAGCTTTTCTTTTCAGGGCTCATTGAACAAGTTCAATGGACAACATGCTCTCAGAGAGAGGGCAAGAAAAATAGATCAGGGCATCCTAATTATAAGGTATGGGTTTATAGTTTTCATTTAATAGTGACAATATTTACTGAATGATATTTTCTATAAATTGTGAAATATAAGTTAACTCAGGGGTTAGGACCAAAAAGTAGGCATTCAATAGCTTTAGCTGATATATTTGCTATTTTGCTGTATCCTAGAAATAAATTTAGAAGGTATTGTTGGATCTTTTCTGGAGTTAGTTCTAGAGCAGATACATGCTATAACATAACACATTGATATACTGATATTTTCCATAGTAAGTCAATTGAAAATTAGGCTATACTTAATTAATAACTCATATTAAACATAAAGTTAAATGGAAGTGACAGTTTAATATATGCTGAAGTTAAAAATCAAGCTGTGTAGCTATGGTGTGGATAAAATAGTGTATTATTTCCTGACAATCTCAAGGGCAAATGCTTAGAGACAAGGTAAAATGTGCAGAACCCATTAGGAGAAAAACAATGATATATTGCACATAGAGAAGTTGGTTTATCTAATGTTGTCCTTTAATTTGTGGTTTTGATTTATGTCCTTTAATTCATGCTTTTAATATCCCCATTTTTTCTATTCATATAGATTTGAAATGCCGTTCAATATATGGTGTGGTGGATGCGAATCAATGATCGCAAAGGGTGTTCGATTTAATGCTGAGAAAAAGCAAGTGGGAAATTACTATTCTACAAAGATATGGAGCTTTTCCATGAAGTCTGCATGCTGCAGACATGAAATTGTAATTCAAACAGATCCAAAGAACTGCGAGTATGTCATTATTAGTGGAGCCCGGCGAAAGACTGAAGAGTATGAAGCTGAAGATGCAGAAACCATGGTACTCCCTGTTGAAGAAGGTGAGGAATCTGCATACTAGTTTTATGATCCTGAGAAGCTGTTTGATTTTCACCAATAAACTTTGATGCTGCAAATGATGTTGTTACTGTTTATTGGCTTCATATCTACATATATCTTTGCATTTACAATGCATTACCATATCTTAATCTTTGTTGATTTCATCTTTCAGACCGAAGTAAGTTAGCAGATCCATTTTACCGTCTTGAGCACCAGGAGGAAGATATAAAGAAGAAGAAAGAAGCTGAACCTCGTCTTGTCCGACTTCAGAAAGTATCTGATGCGAGGCACTCTGATGACTATGCCTTAAACAAGGCTCTCCGTGCCAGACTAAGGGTATAGTGTTGTTTGCTTTTGTCCATGGTCCTTGCTTCAAATGCTTCATCCTTTTGGATACACACTTGCTAATTTTGAACATAAATACAGGGTCAAAAGAAACGCGTTGCAGAAGAAGAGACTGCTGCCAAGAAAATGGGACTTGCCTATAGGTTGCTTCCTGCATCCGAAGAGGACGCTGCAGCTGCTTCACGAATTAAATTCGCACACAAGTTTGACAGGAACAGAAAGGATAAACGAGCATTAATCCACGCTTCCTCTATATTTTCTGATTCTTCATCCGGGTCCTCCAAAAGATTGGAACTTGAAGCAAAGAGGAGGAAAATAAATGCATCCGGGGCATCAAAACTGCTAGTCGGAGGATTTAAACCATCATCTTGGACTCGGGATGTTACTACTTCCAGCAACCACAGGAGGATGTAACTCTGTTTATGTGCATTGTATTCCTGTTTACAATATACATGTTTTGAGTTTGCTTGTTACTACAGTACATAGTTTCAATATGAAGTGCTAGATTTGCCCTCATGTAACTCTCTTTGTGGTTTTTATGGATTAGAGTCACAAGACATGATTTACTTCTCAATGTATATTTTCAAAGTGACTGAGTTTTTTTCGTCATTCGAAAAAAATATCTTACAAAATTGATTAAAATATTAAAATCAGAATTGGAAGTTGATGTGAGGAATTGTTTTTCTCATTAATGTCACCCTCCTCAGCTCGCCGACCTTCTGCTTTCTTCAGAATCGATGAAAAATGCATGAATTTCGGCTGAGTTGAAACACCATAGCAGACAAGCAGCGCATGATCTTACATTGTTGCGTAATCTTTGGATTCTTTCTCAGACACTGTCCCTCAGATTACCTCTCTGTATTCTTTTCATTCCATCCTTACATATTTTTTTAATTTGCAGTACTATACCTACGTACCATATATTATTATTATAGGTGCATGTGCATGAAGGGTCTTTCTCATAGGACCCGTGCCATAACTTACGTACCAATCCCATGTTCTGAAATCTGAATCTTACTTTGACCTCCATCTCTATAACTGGTACATGTGTACGCATGCCATTATTCTCTGAACATCCATCAAAATTCACTTTTAATTTGCTTGGACAGTAATTTTCAATCAATTTTTATTTTGTTATGTGTATTCTAAAATTATATATGATTGTAGAAACCTAAGAAATCTTTATTCACCAAATACTTCTATTCCACCACGCAACTGATCGGACACTGAACCCATCTAGCTAGCTAGTGACAAAGCATTGTACAATTCCTTTCATCATCACCCGTGTCCATAGCAGAGCATTGCATATATATATCAACCTATCTTTCATCTTTTTTTTTTTTTTTTTTTTTCCTAGTGGATATTTGGTGATGTTATTGAGAGTTTGAGACCCATAGAGTTGGGACAAACAATAATATATATTTTTATGCTAAAACTCTCAATGGTATTAAAGAATCAAGTAAGTGCTTACTATTATACTAAAAGAACCTCCCAGCATTCCCCCTTCTAACAGCTAACTGGCTATGATACTAATTGTCAAGTCAAAGTACTTGCCATTTATAACTGGTAGCAAATGCAACTTGTGTAGTCAGTGGTCACGTTTTGATAGCAGAATGTTGAATTTAGTTCTTCGGCCTCCACTCAAGATGAACAAATTAAAGTTTAATTTCTATATGTAGATGTGATGATATATGGAATTGTGTAGCTGTTTCCTAGGTTTGGCTGTTTGAGTCAGCACAATGTCTAACAGTAGTGCACTGTTACTGTTGGTAAGTATAGAGTTGTGTACTGCTATACATTTTTGGGTGACGATTTCTCATCTGTTTTTTTTGCAATTGTGGTGAAAATGGGACAAAACAAATTCACTCAACCACTCCTTCAATGGAACACTGCAAATCCACTCATGCAGAGATTCTATCTGCAGCCATTAATATTTCTTAGCTTTTCCCAGAACACCCTCAATATATTGACTATATGTGGTATATTGAAGGGGCTTTAAAAGAATAGTTAAACTCCGGGTAATAATTGGAATATGACTGCGACTTAATTCCTAGTCAAACGTAACATTAATCTTGATCTCAACAAATAATGTCTCTATTTATAATATGCTGTGAAAAAGTGACTGAACGAGTGGAGTATGATTATCATATATATCAATCAGAAGGTCGTGATTTTGATTCTAATCAAAACCTTTTTGATCGAGCTCGTTGCACGTGGTCTGTAGACTATTGCACAAGATTGGGTGGTGGCTATGGGTAAAAGAGGAGAAAAATGCACATAACAATTGACATGCATATATGCAGTGCAGAGGTTGTTGGAGCAATTAAGGAAAATGTATAGTGATACCTTATATATTCAATCAGATTTTTGTTCAAAGTCTAACGACATTCATTGTTCTTATCAGGAGCATATATACTACATTAATTGAAGACCTAAAAATACAGCTAGCCCAACCAATGACTCAGATTTTATTCTGGTACATATGAAACCCTAACGGCTAATTCTATGTTGCTGGATTCCATCTTTAGCTAGAATGGATACGTATCTGTGTGTATTTGACACTATATATATATATACGTTCATGTGGGAAGGAGCTCACATGTGAAAATTGGGATGAGATCTAAGCCGTTGATCTAACCTAGACGATCAACAGCTCATAATGAAGGAAAATTAGAATAAAAAAAACGCGCTTCCTTGCAACTGGATGCGAATGATCTCCGATCCTAGCTCCCACCATTGTCGAACTGATGCACTTTAAGGTTCAAACGTATGCACTTAAGTTTCAAACTGACACGCCTTAAATGTCAAACTGACGCACTTTAAGTGTCAACTGATGCATCTTAAGTGTAGAACTTTTGCATTTAAGTGTCAAACTGATGGACCTTAAATGTCAAACTGATGCACCTTAATTAAGTGTAGAATTGACGCACCTTAAGCGTCAAACTGATGCACTTAAAAGTGTCAACCTATGCACCTTAAGTGTCAAATTGACGCACATTAAGCTTTAAACATATGCACTGACCTTAAGCTATAAACTTACGCATATTAAGCTTTAAACTTAAGCGCCTTAAGCTTTTAGGCACCTAACGCTATAAATTTATGCACCAAGTTATAAACTTACTCACCTTAAGCTTTAAACTTACACATCTTAAGCTTTGAACTTACACAAAATTATCATAATACCACAATGTTTTTTTAATTTTTTTTTTTTTATTTTGGATAGTTGATTTTAGCTGGATCAATGATTGAGATTTCACCCATTTTTTACCTAAGAACTCCTTCGCATTTGATCTCTAGTCTCTCTCTCTCTCTCTCTCTCTCTATATATATATATATATATATATATATATATATATATATATATATATACACGCGCGTCCGTGTGTGCTTGTATCACTTCAAATAGTTAAAGCTGCAAGAATTATAATATATAATTTTGGGTGGAGACTTGAATGGTCAGATACATCATCTAACATTTTACTGTTTCTAATTTTTTATGTTGCAAATGTTTGATCTTAATATATATGTACACTCATTCAATATCTCTTGTGTGAATCTATAATAAATAGCATGCATGGTGGCAAAATGATTTTGGCTGCGTAAAATAATTTTCCATTACTCTATGCTGCGAATAATGTTTTCTATATAATACCAATAATACTAAAAAATAATTGTTACTTTCTGCCCATTTTAAATTTATCATGTAGGTTTTCAAATAATAATAATAATAATAATAATTATCATGTAGTATAATGTTGTGCTGTTTTTTTTTTTTTTTTTTTTCAGGGTGGGGTCTCAAGTGTTATAGATGTAATGAACAATTTTTATAGTATGAGTCAATATATGATGGATAATAAATATTTTTAAAAAAGTAGATCATTAATAATAATGTAATTTCAATTTTTACTGATATTTTGAATAAGAATACAGTCATATTTTACTTCTTTGTGGTTATTTACGCGTGTTAATATGAAACATTTAAAAGGGTGTTGAAAATGAAATGCAAATTTGATATACAAATATTAGCTAGCAGACCGACCAAATTGAAGAAAGAGAAAACCCTAGCTAGGTAGCAGAATTGAAGTGGATGTGTCGATCCCTGTTACATCCATCAATCTCATTCATGATCATAACTGCTGCAACTATATAATTATATATACCACTAGCCCAGATGAAGAACAGCGTCAACAAATTGATTAATGCCAGTTACCATCACACATTTAATGTAATTTAATGGCTTATTTGAATGATGAATACGATTTTTATTTATTTAATGTAATTTAATGGCTTATTTGAATGATGAATAAGATTATTATTAATTTTTTTTGACGAGGAAAACTTGTAGTCACTACTCAGAGTGTGCATTGGGTAAACCTTACCTTGTGACCCCAAAGGACCACAAATAGGTAAATTAACTTAGGTTACGTTGCCCATATATAACTATATATAATTGGCTCAAACCAAAAAGCTGTCAATAGACCGTTTTTCATTGGGAGAAGAACTTGGAACCTTGTGATTATTAAGCCAATATTCGACTAATTTGGCTTGGGTCACCTTCCTTGTGCAAGAAAAGTTGTTAGCTAGGATAGGGTGGTGCCTTGTCTTCCTACCACACTACTGCAAATATCCTTTAATTCAAAACAAGCACATGTATATATATATCATCTTCAACAATAATACAATACCCTCAAGACATGCAGAATCCTAAGTTAAACCAGGAACAAAGGAAAAACAAAACAAAAGTATATAAATATAGTATGGAGTATTAAATTTAATCACGTACAAGTCATCATTATGGCAGAAACATAGTTGATTAGTTATCATTTCCTCTTTCAATGCTTCAATTACTAGTGTAGTATATAGGATTATGTTGCTAATTAAGAATTAGCCAACACATATTAGAAAGCAGCTAGCCATTTGAAGGAGTTAATTAGTACCTGTTGTAAACTCTTAGCCATTTGAAGGAGTTAATTAGCCACACATATTACCTGTTGTATACTCGATTGTCGTCTACTTGTAAGTTGTAACTATTCATAACTATAAAGACTAGTTTGAATTAGACAATAATTCATGTTACACTAGGAACCATGAATGATGAATTTCATGGTACTACTTGATCTCCTAGAAAGCATATATACATCAAAAGAGTTATCAAGACAAAGCTATAAGGGCATCTAATTAATTACATGTATATATGTATAGAATGTAGATATATATGATGGAGTGGTTGATATAAGTTTCTATAGAAATTATTAGAATCAAGTGTCTTTATTTCTTTATACCTACGGACACCAATTGTAAGGATCAAGTGGTTATTACTATGCCAAAAGCTATAATTAGTAGCGAAGACGCAACTTTATTTCCTTATATTTATGTAGAGTCAACAACGACATGTTTTAGTTGCAGGATGTTAGACTCAGCCCTCCAGACCTCCTCCCAATGACTGGTATAGTTGCCTGCATGGGCAGCTCAACTGGTCATAGAGGTGAAGTTTGGAAAGAATAACTGGTATAGTTACCAAATCCCATGATCATCAAGTTATGGCCGGGAAGATGATTAGGTTATACCAAACCTTCATACTTTGACTGTCATAAATTTTGTGCACTACCAATTAAGTGAATTGAAGAAAATAACTACGCCCTTAGACCACATATGCATCTTCTTTAATTTCTCTTCTATTATTATTTCTCTTTTCCTCATATATTCCTATATGGCTATATGGATAGCTTAATTGCTACATACAACAAATTATATCATAGCCTGCAGCATGGTAAGCTTCAATTCAATGTGATCACTCAATCATTAATTATGAAAAATAATATTCAGGTAAATTAATTTGGCTAGTATAAACACTGCCAGCCAAACACTGAAGAAAAATAATGTTTTGTCTTTCATCTTCCATGCATGCAATGAAAATATTAGTGAAGAAAAAAAAACTGTGAATATAATAATTGTGGATTTGATTTGCACAAGTTTAGATAATTAATATGCTTCTAAAGGGCATTTCATATAATTCATCTATTTTATAATGTCTTTAAGCTCATTCATTTGAGACACCAAATAGAAATTAAGGAAATAGTAACAGAATAATGACACAATAATTATATTCCCATTTAAATAGAAATAACAACAGATTTAATTTGATTTATTAAAATACTTAATTTCAACATGAACACACTAAGCAGGAATTATTCACTTTTTTTGCAACAAGAATACAGGATGATTGGAACAAAACATAGGCCAATAGTAATTAATTAAATATTGGCAATGAGATTAATAATATAATCAATTCAAGATTCATCAATTTAACCTAGTATTGGTTGCAGGAGAAATTATTTTGTTGGACCACAGGCTGGAAATCAAGATTTGTTGCACCCAAATAAGCTGATGAGCTAGGGTTACCTGAAAATGGAGCCAACTCCCAATTCCCAAGAAACCCCATAAAGGTGTTGCTGGTTATTGGATCTATGGTCCCTTCTGAGATTGAAGCAGCATTGCTGATGATGTTCTGATTATCATCATCATGGTACTGATGAAACATGTATTTCTCTGTTATTCCAACGCTGCTGGCAAAATGGGTTTCAATCCCTTCATGGGAAGAAGTGTGTTCTTGAGTGTAGGAGGAATTATTGGCAATTGATTCTTGATCAAGAAAAGGGTTGATGAGTTTTTGGGTTTTTGTCATCATTTTCTCCTTTGTTCTTTCCCTGGCTCTGGCCCTTGCTTTCTCCCTTGACTCCTTTTTCTTCTTACACACTTTCTTGTCCTCCGCCGCTTCAGCAGTGTTTGAGTTCTCTTCATCTTCATCCATGGTTGACATAGCTTCAAATTCATCAGACTCGCTGCTTGAGCCATTGTTCTTTGAAGCGGCGGCGGTGAGCTCTTTGATTGCGGTTTTGGATTGCGAGAGTAGCCATTCTATGGTGCTGCTTGCCTTGTCGAAGCCTAACATGTCTTGGAGATCGAAGAACTTTCTGGCAATTTGAAGGGATAGTCGCATCCGGCGGTCCCGAACCCCCTGCGCCGTGCAAATCTTGCTGTGCCGGTCTTTCTTCCCCGTCCTCCTCCTCGGAGTTGAACCCTGCAGGGTTTTCTTCTTGGTTTTAGTGGTGGGGGAAGTGTTGTTTACTGAACTTACTGGTGCTGCAGTAGTTTCTCCGGCAGCGTGGGTGGCCGGAGAGAATATTTGGTTCAAGGGCATGACTTGATCGTCCAGGAAAGGAGAAGGGAACTGGAGGAAGAAGGGAGGCTCTTCTTGGGCAAAGCTAGGGTTTTGATGATCCCATGGAAATGGAAATGGCCTTTTGAGCAGTGTTGTTGTTTCTGTAGAGAAAGGCAAAGGGTTTTTGGTGGTGGGAAACATGTATATATGGTCGGTCTTTATCTGATCTGATCTCATCTTTAGTTTTGTTTTGTGTTGTTTGGAATGGGGAAGATGCAGGTCCGCAGGCCGGAAGAGATTTTTGCCTTAATTAGCTTTCTCTTTCTTTCTTTTCTGCTTTTTGTGGAAAGTTTGTAGGGGAGAGTGTCACTTAATTTGGCTATGGGTGGGATAGGGCTGGAGAGATTTGCTCAATAACAGAAGCACACTGTGCAATTGTGATGGGGATGTGGTAGCGGGTGGCGGTACGTGGTGGTGGGCAGTGGGCGGTGGTGGTTGTGAAATGGACACAAAAAGGATGCCTATATATATATATTAATTATATTATTGGAACATACATTGAAATTAAATCATTGTTTTGCAGTAAATGCACATAAGAGGGGTGTTTTTTGTCCGACCACGAGGTGTCATGTGCAGATCCTAACTATAAGAGACATTAAGTCTGGACCATATACTTAGACTAATTACTGGCCTAATTAAGGGACAAAGTGCTGGTCAGATTAATTTTTCTATACGAGATGGTGTTCGAACTCCCGACCTCTCTTAAGGGACGAGAGTGCACGGTCACTCACGTCAACCAAACTAGTTACATCTGTGCGTAGTTTAATTGGTTGCAGTGCTTTTTTTTTCCAATAAAACAAAAAAAATATAAAAACAAAACTGCATCAATTTAAGCTGTAAGTGAAGTTTTGTGAACCTACAGTAACTCAGCGGTTAGCTGGTTAACTCTCACACTACGACAATCAAGGTTCAATCATGTATTCTTGTCTCATAATTTACCACGCAAAAATCAACTGAGCTGCCCATACATGCAATTAATATCAACCCCTTCTATTCAAGTTTTTGGTCACCTCCAAGAAATGATGAGTATGAGGGTTTCTAATCCACTATATATTCCTTTTTTATTAGACGAACCCTCACTTTCCAACTCAATATTCTGATATCCTGGCCTTCTCCCAACACTGCACACACCATAATAGATGATTCACAAAACACGATAAAGAATTGTTATGAACTTTTATAACATTAGTATGAAATTTAATATAAAATTTTTAAAATTATATTCAATTCGGTCTCGTTTCTTTCATATGTATATAACTTACATTTTGATAATTATTTTAATGTGGGTTAGTTGGTTTAATTTGCAGGTTTCTAGATAAATAATAAATTTTAAACATAAAATAATACTAAATTTAAGTATAAATTAAATTATTATTAATTTAATCATGGTTTGGATTAAAGAAAAGTTTAATAAATATCACTTTATTAATATAATATATTCACTTTAATCTATTATCAATTTTAGTATAAAATATACATTTATTTAGACATTTGAAGAGAAATTACAAATTTTAGTATATAAGACGACATCTTTGAGTGATAATTGAAGTATTAATCAAATGTTCTCAATTGACAATGAACACATTTAAATATTCACAACTCACAACTTAGTACATACACATAATGATTGAAATGTTCAAAAGTGTTGCACATAAATGTTTTTTAATAAGATCATACCAACATTCAATAATTATTTTTCTGATTTTCTTTTATGCTATAACCCCTTAATTAATTAGGTCAAACCTAATGTAGAAGGGTTTCAATGCGGCACGTCCTACCTCATAGTGAGCTAAAAAATTTAGGAACACCTCCGTTAGTAAAACAATATTGAGTGTTCTATGGTTTCAACTATAATTTTTTAAATAATATTTTTAACGAATTAGGTAATAATTCGATACTACTCTTATCACAATCATTTTAATTTAATATCAATGTTCATTTTAGCCATTTCATCAATATATATATATATATATATATATATATATATATATATATATATATATATATATTATATATATATATTATATATATATATATATATATATATATATATATATATATATTATATATATATATATATATATATATATATGTGTGTGTGTGTGTGTGTGTGTGTGTGTGTTTTTCCAAAGAAATAATTGTTACTTATAGAATTTAGGATTATATGTATATATATATAAATTGGAGGTTGGAAGATGATGAAGATAAGAGACACAGTTTCACGTGGGAGCAGGTGAGATTGATGGTAATTGGCTGGACATGGCAGTGTTGAGCACAGAGGGAAGAAGGTGAAGATCAGAATAAGATAGGGTGAATTTTTATTTTTATTTATTTGTAATTTTGTTTGATTTCTACCATGAAATATAGAGGCAGGACAAGGCAAGGAAGGCTATGGAAACCTAGCTATAAGAGTGGTAGAGTGAAAGTACAATTATTTGGTTTGGGATGGCAAATATTAAAACCTTACTTTATACCTTAGCATATATAGCTTGCAGTGCTTTACTACCCACTGGGATTTTGAATGTCATTTGACTCACTGTCTTCATGTCCCTTTCACTTCAAAAGCATCAATATAATGGGATATGATAGATATTATCTTTTACATGGTGGAATGCACATGGATACATACATATATGCATTATATTGCATGGCTAAGGATATCATCACTTCTATTTAATTTCTTCTTTCTAATCAAAATATCCCTCTTTTTAAATTTAATTTCTCTTTAATTTTCATCTTATAAGTGATCTGATCTGAGCTACGTATATGATTGCATATTTTTCCTAAACAATATTGTATATTTGTATCCCACCACCACTTTAAAATACTTAATTATTTCTTATATATATATCGCACAAAATTTAATATCTCCTATTAACAAAAAAAAGGATATGATCATTTTTAAAATTTGAACACGTGTATGCAGCAATGCCTTTCGTCAATTACATACATTTTAACTTATAATTAATCAATAAGGATTACATTGGGTTATCAACAGTTAAAATAATAATAATAATAATAATAATAATAATAATAATAATAATAACCTTAATCATCATCATCATCATCAACATAATAATAGAAACTAGCTACAGCTTCATACCACCATGGAATCTCATCTCCCCTCTTTTTATATGTTGCATAATTAATATTCATGTTAGTTTGGGAAGAATATTATATTCATGTTAGACTGTTAGTTGCCAATGATAGTTGTGGAGCAGAAGTAATATCGATTGGACTATATTTTCTCTTTATATGAGTATTTTATTTTTTGTTTACTTAGATGTGTACCTTCTTATATGTCATTGTGGTCGTAATGTGTTTTTGTTCAATATATCTCAAATAAATAATTGTAGTTGTTGGATTTAAACTTGGGGGTTTAATTAATTTGTAGAGGTTTCTATGTATACGCATGTTTTGTGTGTATGCATTTTTTTTTTTTTATTAAAAAATGCCCATACATAGAAGTAATGAAAGAAGAATACTAGAAGAGTAGAAGTATTGGAAAAAATACATGTATACATTGTAATTGGAATGGGAGGGGTCAACCCAGACAAACAAAATTGACAAATTATTGTGTGGATCACGGTCTAAAATGATATTGTTTTGATGTTAAACTAGTATTTGTCCCATGCGATGCACGAAAAATATGTTATAAAAATATACACTATATGAGGTTTATTCATATATAAAATTTTTGTTATTTAATAATTATTATATGTGAATTCCTATGATAAAATTATGAACATAAATATATTTATAATTAAAATAATATTTAAGGTGGGTGATTACTACAAATCTTAAACTATATTAAAATTTTAGTACATAGTATTTAATATTATAAATTTTTAAGAACTTAGTAAACCACAATAGTAATTGAATTACAATTTTAGAGTCACCACGGATCAAAATTTTTAGACCTTTGAGATTTCTAACTCTATATGTAGCAACATACAATTGACCTTTAAAGACCAAAATCACAATCTTAGTTAGAACATTGATTTTTTTTCTTCCAAATACTATCGAATTAAGTGTGTAATCAATAAAAGATGGGAACTAATAATTCGAGAATATAATCTTAATGTTACTAAGCCTACTTCACGTCAATTAAGTTGGTGAGTGTTGTTGGATAGTATCCGATGAATCCATGAATAACGCATCTTTGTCTCCGTAGTCCTCAATATGCACATCAACAATCTTAAATATTAAGCCACATAGCTATGCTATATATTAATTTCAAACTTATGGACTTTGGGGTTGCATGCATGCTTCTTAAAGCCATATGGCTTTAAGATGTGAAAATTAAATGTTGCATTTAATTTTCACATCTTAAAGTAATTTTCACATCTTAAAGCCCATTTAATTTTCACAAGAATTTCACATCTTAAAGTCATATGGTCTTGTGAAAATTAAATGCAACATTCAATTTTCACAAGACCATATAGCTTTATTATATATAGGATAGGATAGGATAAGAAAAATTCATTGCTTCTCGCGCGTGTTAGAATAATGAACATTCTAGGGTAAGATAATGTACTTTATGTATTAGAATAATAAAATTTCTAGGGTAGAATAATGTATAATGTACTTTATGTGTTAGAATAATGTATAATGTACTTTATGTATTAATAATGTATTTTATGAGTTAGAATAATGTATAATGTAATTTCTAGGGTAGAATAATGTATAATGTACTTTATGTATTAATAATATATTTTATGAGTTAGAATAATGTATAATGTACTTTATGTGTTACAATAATAAAATTTTAGGGGTAAGATAATGTATTTTATGAGTTAAAATGATGTACTTTATGTGTTACAATAATGTATTTTATGAGTTAGAATAATGTACTTTATGTGTTTTCAGATTGTGGTACATGTAATAATGATTGAACAAATTTAGCAACTTTGTAACTGATGAACTAATTGACTCGGGGTATGCTTGGATCAAGTAAGTTCGCATAAAATATAAAGATAAAATGATAAAAAGAGTAATTGTAGTGATATGGATTAATGCAAGAGCATTACAAGGTATATTGTGTAAGAATAGAACATGATTTTCTAGGCTAAGACATGAGCCATTTATAAAAGGAAAAGTCCAACCAATCTAGCTAAAAATGTGCGGGGCGCAAGAATGGGTCAAATCCCACAAACCTGGCACATAACTTGTTCAAAATCCACCATTGTCGATCCCACGACGGGCTATGGGATGGAACGGCTAACTACCCCGGTTCGGCCCCAAAACCAGTCTCGGAGTGCACATATTGGTCCGAATTGCCTTGGTTCGGATTGCCTTGTCCGGATCGTTGCGCTTGGCCCAGATCACCTTCATTGGACTCAGTGCGGGCCATTTATCTTGGATCCTAAGTCTCAATTCTTGGACCATTTTCGAAATA